GATAGGACAAGAGTTGATACATCTTGAAGAAATGAACAAATTTACGATCATAGTCTCAGTCGATATATTTATTTTAATATATTCATTTTAGGCCTTCAAGGTCTATAATAAAAAAATATGCTAGTAAAGGCGCAAATCCTACAACAAACTTGATCCTATGATAATAATTAGATACAATTGATAAGATTCAATAAATAATTATAAAAATGCCCCCTAAATACTCGAATGAGCCCTGACAAACTTGATGTATGCACACATGTGACATTTAAGGATGATGTGTAGGTCAAGAAATAAACTTAAGTTTGAGCCTGATTCCCCATCGGCAAGTAGATAGAGTTGATAAGATTCAATCAATGAAATAAAAATGCCTATAAGTTATCCCAATGATGACTCTGTTGAATGTTAATCTCAATTGGATGGGACTCCAAATATTTACAAAGGCCTCACAAATTCTTATAAAAATCCAAAATTAAAAAAATATTAAAATGTCAAATATTTAAAAATGAAATTGACCATCAAAATGCTTAAAGCAAAATTCATCAACCCTTAGCAATAATTTATCGAGGTGGACAAATCTTAAAATCTTTAGCTCAAAAAGAGCTAATGTCTAGTTGAGAATATCATTATGATCCATTCTTAATTCATCTCTACCAGTAAGGACGTGGTATTGGTCCTCTAAATGACGATTTGGTCGGATGGATCCATAAAAAAACTCATGGCTTGGCTTGATAGCTTAGTGTGGTTAATGATTATGCCGCGATCCTTTGACTTTATGATTTGATCCAATGACTCCACTGTATAATGGTTACAATCATAGCCCGTATATTCCTCAATGGCTTCAAGTTCTTAAGATATGAATCAATAGGATATAATCGATAGGGTACAAAGTCCTTTATTAGCTAAGGTGGATTTAATTTTATCTCCTTATACAAATACTCATCCCAGGTCTACAAGGTACCCTTAAACAAAGGAATATATGGCTGCCGATAAGGATCCTTCTTTCAGGTTGGGTCAACTACCTCCTCTGACTAACTAGACCATGGATCATCATAACCACGGATGATGGAATCATGTGATCTTGATCGAGTCCATTATCCCTTATCCACAATTTGCTTCAAATAAAAGATGGTGAAATTTCTAATTTTAAATATCAAATACCCAAACACCTAAATCATGCTGCTACTATAAGCCTGATATTATGTATATGTTTAATGACTAGCCTTAATCAAGAGTTCTCTCTTGCTATTGTGAGAAGTAATTAACTATAGGGGCTTGTGCCTATAGGAAACTAGAACTTAAATCCAAAATCCTAACAAAATGAGAGCAAAATCTCTGGGTAGTTTCTTATTCAAAATCCAATCTGCCTTCAAAAATTTTACCTTGGAACTTAATTCGTTAAAACTCTCCTGAAAGAAGGGAGGCTGGTGCGTGAATTTTCGAATCCCACATATTTCTTACATCTCAATTATAGGTGATTTCTCTTTCCATCTTTGGCTAGTCGTCTAAGTGTTATAATAGCAACAAATCAATATGGGCTAAAATTCTACATTTTTTTAAATGATCATTTCACCAATTAAAATTTTGAATATTCCAAAATGACCATTCAACAAATTCATTAAAAATTCATTAAGCAGGTTTTAAAACTTATCTAAATTATTTGCTTATGTTATATTGTTCTTTGTAGTCCCTACATTTTTAAAGTGTGGGGTGTGTATCAATTGTTTATTACTAACCATTGCCTTTCATTTGTACGTATAGATCTACATAGTGCGACCATCTAAATTGGTGGACTATATATCTCCATAGCTACTGCAAGGGTTGTCGTCATTCCTGTGAATGGTATGAACTCTGAAAGTCCTGTTATGAGTCCTTATTCTTTTAAAACTGATGCACGTCACATGCATCTGTCAATGCGCGAACTACTATTGCCAACACTGTTGAAAATCCTCATAGGAAGATTTCTATTTTTGAAATGTTGTCCCAACCGGAAGCCCTGCATACGAAGAGGGTCGTAGTTTGTGGTAGAATTTTTGTGGTGCCTGCTATCACCACCACTCTGTTGAACAAGTCATATGCATATGGAAGGCACAATATTGAAGCCTCCTCATATAGAGGAAGGCTTACAAGGAGACAAATAAGGAAAAAATATGTTGAGCTCTAAGTTCAGCAACAACTACCTATCCACCCATCAAACCTATCAGCCGAAGAGCTAGAAGCAACAGTCCCTACCTGGAACAGGTTTGCGGGCCTGAAGTGGATGAAAATGAATAACTCTATTGGGGAGTTGAAAAAGTCATTTTGGGACCAACAACCCCAAGCCCCAGTCCCCCCAAAAAAGGAGCCGGAAACATTATATACTCGGATGTATAGGGTCCTGAAGACTGTGAAGGATAAGGGGCTAATGAAAAAGAATCTCCAAAGACCGCTGGTGATCTAGGCTAAGAAAACCCTACCACGGGAGTTTTCACCTGTGGTAGCTCAAAGAAGATTCAACCACACCCCTTATGGTGAACGTTAGGGCATGACACCTGAGCTATGGGTTCAGGGATTTATTGTCAAAAGGTCCCAACGAAAGGGGAAAGAGATCTGGAGGTTGAAGCCTCACAAAGAAGAAGAAAAAGAAAGAAGAATCAATTTGGGTGTGACATCTGATATAGCTTTCAAGAGATCCATCCCCATCAGCAAGAGCCGTTAAAAATGGGTACTAAAAATGCCCATAATGACACCCGACCTGATAGTCGACCCCTTGGGGAATCCTTCAGGGGATCCCATCGTTCGCAGACCCCACCCAAGGAGGTGGTCAACTTCGATCGCATCCCACATATCGAAGAAATAAATATACAAGAGATAAATTAAGGAACCATAGAATCAAGAAGTTTCTTATAAAGTTTATAGACTCTTCTTTATAGACTCTTCTTCCCTTGGAATTAACTTCTTGGGCTTGCTTTCCCTCTATCTCCCTCACTAGACTCTAGACAATAGCCCCCCTCACCCACAACAACTCTTTCCCTAGTGACAACTAGCAACACCTAGCCACCACCGGTAACAACAACCCTTACATGAGAAACAAACTTCATATTTATAGATTTTATAAATAACTGAACTAGAACCACAGCATTGACCTAGGTAGCACTGAGGCACTGTTGAATCGATATGTCAGTTCATCAATCATCACATCAGTTCACCGGTTCAATTGTTTTAACTGTCACCATTCATGCCGCTACTATGCTTAACCTGGTGCTATGGCTCTTCTTACTTGGCACTTTGGTGTTTTACACTTTGGCTTTTTACTATTACTACACCACCTTTTGGCATTCTTGCACTGAGGATAAACAATACAGCTCCCTCTCTATGTCATAGTTTCCCTCCTTCAATTATGAATATTTTGCCGCATTCTGGCATTCTGACGTTGAGGATGAATAATATGGCTCTCTGTCTATGTCATAGCGCTCTCCTTCAATTATGGATATTTTGCTTCATTCCTACACAATTGATAGATTTTAATATCATTTTTTTATGAAAATTAAGCATAATTTGTATGATATATATTTTACTTATCAGGATGTTATTTATAAATTTCTTTTTAATGTAATACAGGCAATGATCCTTCTTTAATGTGATATAGATTAATAAATGTGGCAATTCATAATGATTTATCTATGTCAAACTGTTAATTGAGCAATAAATATTTTTTTTCCTTTGTTTTTTATAACTATCTTACAAAGACATAAGAGAATTTAGGAACTGAATACACATTCAAATATTAAAGGGTCTGATTCTAATAAAGTGCGCCTAGTTCAAGAAAACTTGCCAGAATAAAGATAGTGAAATTGCTAGGATCATGCTGAGCTTGCTAAACTTACTAAAAACTACTCAGTGAAAGGCTTAACTAAGTTTAGTCACCTAAGCTCAAAAGCTGCTTGCATGCATTCATTCAACTTCCCCAATAATAAACTCAATCATCATCCATACATACTCCTATCACTACCAAAAATTTAATATTTTTGTAGCACTCAATAGTAGCTGCTTGCATGCATTTGTCTTCTTTGTATGAAGGTTGTGATGACATTGATATTTGTCCCTTTATTTGATATAAATTATAGTGACAATCATAATGGCATCAATTCTGCAATAATGTGGCAGATATAATCATTGTGATAGCTAACGCTTCTGAACATCTATCCAACGATCATGAAACTGCCGCGAAATGTCATTGCATCGCATTATAATCATGGCGGTCTAGTAGCGGTTTTCAAACTGCTGCACGAAATATAGTGGCGGTGAAAATCACCAGAAAGTCTATTGTTAGTGTTGCAATAACCCTTTTTATAGTGCATGTACTTTAAGGTACTCATCTCATATGCTCTTATCATTTTTTTTTTATTTTATACAGTTATATATATATATATATATATAGATTGTAGAACATATAAGATACGAGTCCTCTATTTTATTGTTAATGTGACACAATTTCTATGTTATATTTGAACAATTTTGTTTGATGGTAGACATTAGTGATGATATTGATAATTAGCAACAACATTTGTTGTAATATAAGGTATCAGATGATTGGTGTTGGCAATAGTGAGTATTAACTATGGTACTGACATCAATAATAAGCATTAGTGTGGTGCCATCTTTAGATGTCTATGTTATTGTTTAAATTGTTTGTCATTGTTGGCATGATCATTGGGCATTTGTCTTGTTATTGATAGCAAGTGTCCATATTTGTATCAATAATAGGCATCGTGATTATTGGCAATGGAAAAGTCAATGTTTGTTTCGATGTTGAATGTCAATAATATTGCAGATACAGAATGTTTACGTTGGTTTTGACATTGGGAGTTCGTGTTATTGTTAATGTCGGGGTCAGTGTTTAAAGGAAATAATGAGCATTAATATTGGTGTCAATATTAAACAGCAGCTTTAAGAAGCAATAAAAAAACTATTCCAAACGAAGCCTTAATTTATCCCGGTCCTGCTTTCAAAGCCCACATGCATGAGTATTAAGATGTGGCGAGATATTCATTCAAGAATTATTTACAGCACCAAATTTCTCATGAACACATAAAATATGAGTTATAAACTTTTGGAGGTTAAGATGCATGCCCTTTCTGTAACTTTACAAGATTTTAAAAAAAAAAAAATCGTACATGCAAATATTATACGACTATAATATACGAATGAACTAACTAAGAGCCTGAGAGACGAGTCTCAGCTGCAGTTCTTTCAACTTAGAACTCAATTCCAGCTTCTGCTCCTTGTAGCTCTGAATCAAGAACTCCTTGCCTTCAATGGCTTCCTTCAATTCCTTGACCTCTCTCTTCAACATCTCAATCATCTCCTCTCTAATCTTCTCTACACCATCAAGGCTTCCATTGGCAAAATCATTTGCAGCTTCAGGCAGCCAAATGCTGCTACGCAGAGGATTTTCAGGAGGACCAAACACACATGAAAACTGATTAGAAATGGTTTTTCTAAGCCTTTGGATCTCTTGCTTTGAATCCAGCAGTTCATGATTCGAGGAACTAAGCTGAGCCTGCAAATGTGTAGTGTGAGCCATTTCAACGGTCAGGGAATTTTGGAGGTCTGTGATTTGGACTTGCATTTCTTCGATCATATCATCTCGCCTCTTAAGTTGCTGGCGTAGTTTCTGTATAACCTCTCTCTTGCTGTAGATATCCGATCCAGATTCTGATAAGCAGGGAGATTCTAAGCTGTTTGAATGGTTAAATGGCTTTGTAGGTAGCTCAAGGAGATCAGGTACTGAATCCCACACCACGCCATTATTTTCTTTGCTTGGTTGTGATGATGAAACATTTACTAGTTGCAGAGTATTATTACCATATTTAGACAGAGGGTTCGTGGGTGTATGCTTGGCACCTGCTACACAGTCAAAGATCGCCTTGAGGAGATGCCATGGAAGTTCTAAAGAAAGGAGATGCTTTTTTTCTTTTGTTTCAATTTGTTTCTTAATGATAAAAGTTCAAATTTTATTAAAGGTTGAATGGAAGAAAACTTCAGAAAATGCTGGTTTTTAAAATTGCTAAAAATAATCATCTGATAGAATCATTCAAATGTTTGCTAGCAATATTTGAGGGTATGGATAGACGAATATGAAGCAACCATTTTAGTGCTTGTGAATATTTAGTCACGCAAGTGAGAAAATAACAACTATACAACACGTCACTTTTAGGAAATGTTATAGCATTAATACAAGGATATAATGTAATGAAAAAAAAATCCAAATCAGCTCAAATTCAACCATTAGATCCAATCTGCACTAATTTCTTACAAACCAATTTCTTGCAAACCATCATAATTTGCACCATCCCTAGGAGCGTTCCTGTGAGCTTTGGCTAAGTTAAGGAGGTTTATGGTAAGGTTTATTTATGAACTCTATCTCATTTCTTTCTCCCATGTGCAAGTCATGTGAAGCTTCCCCTTCCTCATCTTCTCCTTCTATCACAAGTTCACAACTCTCAAGTGATCGACAATCTCTTCCTCCTATTCTTGCGACCCTGCTATGTCGAAACTTTCCAATTACTCACTTCTTCTTCAAGCTATGACCCTTCTCATTTCATGTCATCATGAGCTCCTTCCTCGTCAACAACATTATACTCATTATTTCTATCGTATTCCTTAATTTCTTTTATTGTTGAAGAAAATAACTCCTTCAAAAATTGATTTACGTTGTGAGGCATTATGTTGGGTAAGTCCCTGACTCCTTCACTTTTAGTGAACTTTTTCCTTTAACTTCATTGCAATCAATTAAATATTCTTATTTATTCTTTGCAAAAATTTCATTTTCTTTCATTTGTTTTTAATTTCTCGAGCTTTTATCCCCTATCATCATTATGATTAGTTATGTTAGTTCCTTATAAATCTTAATTATGGATTTTATTTACATTAATACTAGCCCACCTAGATTAATTATGGCATAATTTGGATTTGATTGAGATTGAAATATAATTCCATTAGAAACTTCAATCATTAAAGCCATGCATATGTAGATCTATTGAAATGTTGTTAATGTGGACCTTTGTTGTTTGAGCCTATATAGTTTGTTGACATTTGGTGTTATTCCTTTGAATCTCAATTGAGTTTGGATTTTTCCACCAAATATTAAGGTATTACTTTTATAAAGGTTTATATACATATTATGTCATGTGATGTGTAGTTAGGGTTGCCTTAATAATTGTAGTGTAAAATTTCAGTGAATTTCTTTTCCACTCAGTTCATTTTTGATGAATTATAAAATCAGCAAATTTTGATAAAATTTCTTTTTCATCGTAAGCAATTTCCCTATCACTATCGACTAGTGCCGCCTGCAGCCTCTTGCAGCCTGCCTCTGCTAGCCACGATTGGCCATTGACTGCTTGTGGGCCACCGCCGCTCGACTCAAACCACCAGCAATCACTGTTGCCGTCACCAACCACTAAAGGCCACCACTACTACCCAGCACCGAAAGCCACCACCAATAGACACCAGCCATTGCCACCAACAACTGCAGGCCACCACCGCCACTATAAACCACCGACCACTATCCTCTTTGGGCTTTGCATACATTTTACTTCAAGCCAAATAAAAAAATAATAATCATCAGCATTAATTATACATTAATCTAAACCAATGTTTAAAATTACATGATCAGGTATTGAGTCATTTTTCGTTCGTGAGGCGAGGCATAAGCCTCATGGCGTTTTGAGGCGTAAGCCTCAAAATCAAAAAATTGCGTAAACATAAAATGATAAATTTTGTATATACTAATAAGTAAATAATATATAAAACATAAAAAAATGCTACTTACCACATTTTTTAGGATAAATAGCAATGACATATCACATAAGAACTCATAAGTCATCAACACTGTCATCATTCATCACTAAGGGGGTCTTCATTTGAATCATCATTATGATGAACTGCTCTCTCCTCTTCCTCCTCCCCTATAGAATCTAATGTTTCCCAATCAGCTCCTTCTTCCTCATTATTAGTTATCTTCCTCTTCCCTAAATATTTTTGAGCAATATCATAATGAATAATAGTGTAACACATTAATAAAAGTCTAAGAAAAGAAATATATATTATTTATATACCTTTTTTGATTTGTTCTTGAATTGTAGTGGATGTAGATTCTTTAAGATCATCAAAGAAATCAACATTTAAATCTTTATCTTGTAATTCAGACGGCATCACTTCAACTTCATCATCTACAAACCACTCATCATCAGATGCCACATCCTCGCAAAGCAAAGGATCATCATCATCCATTAATCCTTTTTTCTTCAAATTCCTATCTCTGAGTCTCCTATTGTAAGGTTTACTTATGAACTCTAGGGAATGTTATAGCATTAATACAATGATATAATGTAATGAATGGAAAAAAATATCAAAATCAGCTCGAATTCAACCATTAGATCCAATCTGCACTAACTTCTTACAAACCAATTTCTTGCAAACCATCTTAATTTGCACCATCCCTAGGAGGGTTCCTGTGAGCTTTGGCTAAGTTAAGGAGGTTTATGGTAAGGTTTACTTATGAACTCTATCTCATTTCTTTCTCCCTAGTGCAAGTCATGTGAAGCTTCCCATTCCTCATCTTCTCCTTCTATCACAAGTTCACAACTCTCAAGTGATAGACAATCTCTTCCTCCTATTCTTGCCACCCTGCTATGTCGAAACTTTCTAATTACTCACTTCTTCTTCAAGCTATGGCCCTTCTCATGTCATGTCATCATGAGGTCCTTCATCAGCAACAACATTATAGTCATTATTTCCATCGTATTCCTTAATTTCTTTTATTGTTGAAGAAAATAACTCCTTCAAAAATTGATATAGGTTGTGAAGCATTATGTAGGGCAAGTCCTTGACTCCTTCACTTTTAATGAACTTTCTCCTTTTCATCATTGCAATCAATTTAATATTCTTATTTATTCTTTGCAAAAATTTCATTTTGTTTCTTTTGTTTTTAATTTCTCGAGCTATTATCCCTTATCACCATTATGATTAGATATGTTAATTCCTTATAAAACTTAATTATGGATTTTATTTACATTAATACTAGCCCGTCTAGATTAATTATGGCATAATTTGGGTTTGATTGAAATATAATTCCATTAGAAACTTCAATCATTAAAGCCATGCATATGTACATCTACTGTATGTTGTTAATGTGGACCTTTGTTATTTGAGGCTATATAGTTTGTTGACTTTTGGTGTTATTCCTTTGAATCTCAATTGAGTTTGGATTTTCCCACCAAATATTAAGGTATTATTTTTATTTCTTACAGAGATAATGAGATAGTAGCATTTATTTCTTGACTACTATTTTTTGTTTTGAGCTTTAACACTTATTCGTGTTGTAGGTTTTGTATTCAATAAATTTCCAATCCTATCTTTCATGTTCAATTTCCTTACTAATTTGTATAAGGTTTATATACATATTATGTCATGTGATATGTAGTTAGGGTTGCCTTAATAATTGTAGTGTAAAATTTCAGTGAATTTCTTTTTCACTCAGTTCCCTTTTGATGAATTATAAAATCGGCAAATTTTGATAGAATTTCTTTTTCATCGTAAGCAATTTCCTTATAACTACCGACCAGTGCCGCCTGCAGCCTGCCTCTGCTAGATACCGTTGGCCATCGACCGCCCGTGAGCCACTACCGCTCGACTCGAACCACCACCAATCACTGTTGCCGCCACCAACCACCAAAGACCACCACCACTACCCACCGTCGGCAACCACCACCAATAGACACCAGCCATCAACACCAACAACTGCAGGCCACTTCCGCTAGTATCAATCACCGACCACTATCATTTTACTTTAAGCCAAATAAAAAAATAATAATCATCAGCATTAACTATACACTCATCTAAACAACTCCAAAGCATTCCTAATACAATGCATTCTTTTTCAACCAACCAAACAACCCCTAAGTGCAAAGCCAAATCAAGTTTAGGAAAAAAAATCAAGACAAAGTTCAAGATAAGCCTATTAGCATAAAGGGACAAATGAAATAATAAAGGGAGCAATAAATTAAAATTCAAGCAGCTTAATTTCATATTGCTAAATCAAATCCATGAGGGAAAGGTCAGCCAAAGCGTGAGAAAAACAAGTTTGAATAATTTAAAACTACTTCAAACCAATTTATAGGAAGGATAGTTGCATAAATCAAGAAAGACCAAATATTTTCTCCATAAATCACTCCAAAATTCAAAACATATGATCATCTAAGCAAGATACAAGAGAGGATTTTGATAAGTCAAAAGCTAGTCACTTATTTTTAGGATTTTGTTAAGGTTTTTTAGGATGATTGGTTATTATATATGTAACCATTTATTTGATATGTTATCAACTAGATTTTTAATAGAGTTTCTCCATATATTTTCATTAACTTCTATAAGTATAAATAAGGGGGTCTTTATGATATATTTTTTAGCAGCAATTAGCTCTTCAATTGAATTACTCCATGAGTAAGGAAACACAAGCTGAAATTTTTCTCTCTTACTAGTTGGCTCTCTCTACCTCCTTGATTCTCTCTCTCTCTCTCTCTCTCTCAATTGTTTTCTCTTTTCGTTCTCTCCAAACCGAGAGAAATAAGATAGCAAAGAGATTAGCAAGTTCAAAAGGAGATTAAATAATATAAAAGATAAAAAGGATATCAAGACAAGTCGGCCATCCACAAAAACTTATAAGTTGGTAAACCCCAATCACCTCTAAGTAGTAGTTTTATTTTCTCTGTGCATGTTAGGTTATATCCAAAGGTTTCCCTACCTAGATGGATTGGTCAAAACTTACTAGGAGACCTTGGGACTTGTAAACCCTAATTCTATCAAATCCTAGCAAGGTAATATCTCTTCTATTATTTAAAATAATAATAATAATAATAATAATAATAATAATAATAATAAAATCTCTCCTATTATTCCCTCGCTAGATTATTGTGTGTCTTAGATGATTTAAGTTGTAAACATCTCTTGAATACTATCTCATCTCTTGTGCATCATATGCTCCACATAAAATCTAATTTAAAAGCTCATTTTGTGATCTCATTATTTCAAGTGGGCTTACCATTAGCTCACCTTGGTGGATTTGTATTATAACTTCTATCCATAATATTTTATCATTAATTTTATATCCCAATCTTATTAGTCTTCCCTCAATCCCTCCACATTGCTCGTGTTCAAACTAATTAAATATAATTTTCACTATCTCATCTTCAACATGTGCTACCGCTCCTATCCCTCTATATTCTAATTTCGCACTCTATTCTTCTTAATTTTGCCACACATTCATTTTTGCATCCCCATTTCCATCACACTCGAGTAGATTATAATGACTTTTTTATGCCAAACTTTGAATACATATGAGATGGTTGAGCTAATTGCAATTTTATAAAATTTATCTTCAAGACTTTATGATATTTTGTATTTGCATATTAATTTAAAGACAATTCTCTAATTTATATACATATATCGCTCATGTAATGTGTTGAAATAGTTCAAGATACTTAAACTTATCACATGTAGGTATAACATGATCTTCTAGCACGACTAACTCATAATATCAATTTCACATACATTAAAATTAAATATCATTTAAATTTTTATTCTACTATTCTTGAGCTCCACTTCTAAACATTTTTTATATTATCCAAACTCACTTTGAAAAAGTCAAATAAAGATAAAAATATATAATTATGACAATTCCACCATCACCTCATATAATTGAGCTTTACCACAAAAAGATAGTCCCATCACTGACATAAGATGTGAGTAGTATTACAATAAGTACAAAATAAGAATCAACAAGGCATCACTATCTAAGCCAAAAGAAGTGTCAAGAAGTATGCAACACAGGCATCGAAAAAGCAACGAGTCAATGTCAATCTATCAAAGACTAAAATTGTTGTTGATAGAATCCTAAAACTAACTTATTTAAAATTAAATTAAGTAAAGATGTAACATTTTTATGTTCTCAATATACTATCAAAGCTTTGCTAAAGTGTTACCTCTTCATCTCCCATTTTTATTCTCTCTCTTGGTCATCTCATGCCACCTGCTCCTCATCTCTCTAGTCCCTTTAGAGTTGGATCGTCCAAGCCAACCTTATTCATCTCCCTTCTCTTTAATAAATAACTAACATACAATTATTCTTCTCCCACTAAAGACTGTAGCCAACACCCCACTGAAATATCTCCTCACCCAAACCACTCATACCACCTCTCTCTCACAATTTTACACTCCAAGTCCAAGCTATCTTTACTCCCTTTCTTGCCAAGCACAACATATGGAATCCATGCACAAAAGAACTCCTTTCAACCAAGCCTCCATACAACATGCTCTTATGTATATCTCCACTATCCATAAAAACCAACCCTTCTCCAACCTAATTGTGTCAACTAAGCTGACAACAACCATCAACTAATATAAATGGTCTTCTCCCATTTTTAAATGATAAAATCTATTCATCTCTGTGGACTTCAGCTAGGAACACTCTAGTGGTTTTCTTATGCAAGACATCTTTGATGGCATCACTGTTTCTCCAATCTCAAGCTTCATTGCCAACTTAAGATCACCCACGCCTGACTTACTTTGATTACATCTTTTTTTTTCAAACCCAAGTTGACATATGCCACCTTAAATTTGAAGAGGAATATTATTATATCTAAATTTAACAGGACACGATGGAAAAAAAAAAATTCATATAGCCGACCCCAGGTAGTGGGATAAAAACATGCTGTTGTTGTTGTTGTCATCGTCACATGTGAACATTTATAGTAAAAACTTGCAACAATTATTCTTGTAATATCTCCTTATTATTAAGGATATTCTCCTCTATTATGTTGTTTATTGTTCTCTTAGCTTTCTTATACATAGACATGCTTATACTAACACTTTAATCAATTCAGCAAAGTTGTAGCCTTTTCATGTTTGAAATATATATATATATATATATATATATATATATATATATATATTTGAAATGAAATTTTAAGGTTGGTACTCCATCTAGTAAATTTAAGATTACAGGTCATAAAAGAGGAATTTTAAGCTTTCAGCGTAGCATACCTGAGAGGCATTGGTAACATATGTCCTCATGTGGAATAAAGCAATACAATTGTGAATCCAATTTACATGTTTCACGTCTCTTATTAGGAGTTGAGTTTCTATTCTCTGCCAAATAAATGACTTTATAGTTCAGAGAAGATTGACATCACAGTTCAAGAAAATCATTGAAACAAAAAGCTAAAGATATAACCTTTTGATGGAGCGTAGCTTGTTCTTCCTCTCTTAAAGTCAAATACTTGTTTCAACCTACAACAAAGCCTAAGAGAAAAAGCGCTTAACAAGGCCCCGCCTACAATAAAAACCCAGTTTGGCATCTTCTGTTTAGCATGACTCAGCTCTTTAGTCCTTTTCATGCTGCCATTTATTCTCGATGTCATCCTAAATGCAGATCAGATATTTAACAAATAACTTTTACAAATCAGACCTTGATTATATCATAAAAATAATAATGGTAAAAGAAAACGGTGCATAAGCAAGGATGGAAGAAAAACATAAAAACAAATTTAAGAACACAGAAAACATGTGAAGTTCTACTTTCTCATTTTTGCTAGATATACTAATGAAAAGCTTTCTCGTATTTTTAAAGAGTAAAAGGTGATACAATTGCATACTTAGCAGAGCATCATAATGGACAAATATGCAAAAAATGAATGCATGCTTCAGAATAACACAACCAAAGCATTAGATATATGAGAAACAATGTAGCCATCAGCTCACTAACTTTCCCAAATCAGCTAGTCTATGGAATGCCTAACAAAACTTACATTTTATGCTCCGTGTTTCTTAATAGGATTTTTTATCAGTATCAATTTAGAATCTGATTATAGTGTTGGATGTGTAACAAGCTAGTAGGCTACATAACCGATTGTGGTGGGCATGAGAGGTATTAAACTTTTTACACATAAATTAGCCGAAATATTGGGCTGTTTTGCTGTGTCTTTTTTCCCTATTTCTTCATCTTCCTTTTGGTTCACGCCAATATACGTACCATAAACAAGTTTCACGTTTGCACCAGACATAGCCACCTCATATGACAGACTAAGCAACACTTCGAAATCAATTATAACAAAAGTGAATTCCAAATTACAAAGCTGGCCAATAGATTAACGAAAGTTTTTGAAGGAATCAATAGCAGGACTCGACATGTTTACAAAACAAGTTTAATCAATGCTAATTTGTCTAAAAATTTATACAAAAATAATTGTCATAGGACACACTGGATGGCCCATGTTGTAAACATTAGCAATTTAAAGACAAATTAAATGCATCTCATTCTGCCAAAAGCTCGAACATCCAGCAAACAGAATATTTTTTTTTTATCAATCTAGCAATAGTTTATGTAAAACTTCATAATTACTTCAATGATAACATTAACAAAGCACTGATTTATGAAAGCACGGAAAAAAGGCTTCAGACAAAATTCAAATAGCAAAACGTTACACAACCACTTCCTCCTGCTGAGGGCAGGCTGATCCACATAGAGGCCAACACAGACAATGAGAAAAAAAAAATCATAATAGCATTGAATCTACACTGTTAGCAACAAGAAAACACTACCAGATTCTAAAATGAAAATGACAACTTAGTCTAGATGCGAGATTTCCAAGTTAACATTCATGCTCATTTATTCAGAAACTTCACGGCCACTTTTTTTTAATCACATACACGCCATTTTCCTCGGCGGGACCTCCAGTTCCATCGATTTCTCTGGAACGGAAGCTGGATTAAGAATAAATGCTCCTCTCAAGTAAAATAAAAAACACTAGCGGAAGCATCAGTCTATAACACAGGAAGCCTTGTTTCAGCCAGTCAATGACATTAGAGAAGCAAACTACCCAGAGTAATAAACCAGTCAAAACCCTAAGGCCAAAACTCTAGGGTCCCTTCACCTATGAAAAATGCAATACAAAACAAATCTCACGAGAAAAAATGCAGACAAAAAACGGAACAGAGTTGGCCATAGGCCCAGCTACATCGAGGACGCACCTCCACCTCTATCAATCCGCGTCGAACACGAGATACCGATCTCTATCCAGCAAAAAGCTCGTCAATGCTCCTAAAAACTTGAAGCACAATCCTCATCTTTATCGACCCACTCTCTTTAACTCCCTTCACCTTCTCCTCCCGTTGCTTTGCCCCTTCTACTTTCCCCTTTTCTCTTTCTCTCACCCTTCTCTTCAGAGAGAGAGAGAGAGATGAAAGAAGAGAAGAATCGCAGGCCCTTTCTTCCGTATGCTCGGCGTTGGCCCGAACGGAGAAGTAACTGACTAGTGCAGCTTGAGTTGTGGCCGATGGCCAAGGCAAATTATTGGGTCAGGTGACCGAAGCCATCTCTCCGTTCGGTCGCCAATAAAAATGCGACATTTGTTAGGCGTTTTTTTAATTTATTATTAACGCTTTATGTCTTGTCAGATTAGCGACCCGACCCGATAACGCCT